TACTTTAATAAGGAGATTTAGGCTGAAACTTAGACCGTAACCGATGTCTATGGGAGTCTATACATTTCTTAATTAGGCAATAGTATAATAGGTTATCAAACTAATTATACCACCACTAAAAATAACGTCATTGATTTAGTGGAATTTCAAATGTAGGTATAGTAATGAAAAATAAAAATATTTACCAGATCAGGGGGCGAGTACAAAGTATTAGAATTAGTTGAAATAGTATAGAGATACTGAAAGGAAAATACGATTCTTGTCTAGGTTAAGCCGTTTAAATCTATTAATTGTGTTGGTTCCATCTTTATTGGTTTAAATTATAACTTCGATAAACTACGTCATAATTTAGGGGGCGATTGTGACGGAACACACCACAATAATTCAATAAATAAAGCAAAATGCTCGATTATTTATTAATAATTTTAGCCTAAGAAATTGTCGCGCTGGATGGGATTTTAACGGTAGATTCCTGCAAAGAATCACCACTTCAAATATTTCGTTACATATAGAAATTGACTTGGATAAACAACACATTTGCAAAGGCTGAAAAGCCTGTCATGTCAAGTAAATTATGGATTTTAAAGTGGGGTTTTAGAAGAAACGGACACTTAGAAACTAACAAAATTAGCAATATATTTGATTATAAGTGACATGTAAGGGTGAGAATTATCAAGTGGGTTATGGTATTTCAAAATGTGTTCTTAGAAGAAATCATTATTTTTGTTTTTGTGATTGCTCGGGCCAGGGTTTGACATAGGGTCATCGAGGGCAGGTAGTACTGATTGCCTTAAATTACTACAATGTCGAGACACATGTTGAGGGTGCAGGCGTGGGACGCTTGACAACTTAAATCAGTGAAATGTTCTGTAAAGAATTGGTATTATGAAGAAATAAGTGGAGGTATTAAAATTACCTCTTTGATTTATTGGTTGCCTGCAATGTCTTAAATTCAACAGAAAGGCCGAAAGACAATAAAGTAACATTAATCTTGCTGTTCTTAAAGAAATATTCGTAGAAATTTGTGTGCTCTTGACCAAAATAAAACTATTTAAAGTTGGACATCATTTTGCCATTTAAAAGGTTAAAATATGATGACAGATATTGTGTCTTGGTCCCTTAGGACAATATAGCTATTTTATACAAAAAATAACAATAAAGACAAAAGGTCAAAACTATTGCTTCCAGATGCTAGGGTATTTTAGATAATTAATAATAAAGTATAATTGTTTCAAAATGACCCCTAATAGCAGGGAGATAAGGTATAATGACCAATATTAAGCGCTAAACATTTGTGAATTTGGGATATTAGTGGGCGTTGCGCTTACGCATGGGTGGAGCCTTATTCTAGTAGACGCAAAGGGGATGAACAAGGAAGCAATTCGTATGAGTGTTCATATTGGTTTAGTCTTAAGGAATAATTTTGTATGTCAATTAAGATAGTTACAATAAGATAATAGAAATAGGCGTGGTGTGAGAAATGTTACGGGGGTAGCAAATGTTTTAAAAGAGGTGGAAAATGAAGTCGGGGACAGTCGGGGAGAGTCCGGTGGAGACCGGGAACAGGATCGTAACTCGGGATTCTGTCGGTTCGTTGAGAGTTTTCGGGAGTTGAAGGGAATCTGGGGAAGGTCGAGAGCGGAATCAGAACTCGGGCTTTCTGAGGGTTCGTCACAAGCTTTACGAGATAGTTGATGCAATTCTTAGAGTTGTCGTAGTCTTGCTATCAGATCAGTGCGTCGCGAGATTTGATAGGCAGGTCTGAATTGCTTAGAAGGAGGGCGAATCCCTTAATATATATTAGTGCGGTGCGAATATATACGTAGGTTACATCACGAATTATAAAAATCTTTATTAAACCTTAAGTATACCGTACCAGTTCGACGCGGGCTTATTAAAGTCAGTGCTTTATGATAATTAGAGTCAGTGTGTCTATTAGAATTTGTCAATGGTAGAGTTAGTGCGGTTGAAAACTCTACATTTAGGGTAAGATAGGAATTAAAATCCTCCGTTGGACTCGGGTTCAAGGCCTCCGCCTTGAACCGCAAGTAAGTGGGTGTTAGGGACGCTAGGGTCTCATCAGGTTGTTAGGAATAAATTAGATTTGCTAGGATTGTGTTATATTGCATTCTGTAATATTAAAAAGTAAAAATAATATTTAGAGTAAAGTGATAAAGACAAGTTAAAGATATATTAGACTGTATTAACGACTTTAAGATGGTCAATATGAGCGGTATACATTTAAATATTATATACGATATTAATGTTACATTTAAGGGATAGCTAACTATACCTAAATGGTGAGAATTAACGACAAACAGGGCAAAACGGAGTAGGCCTAGTAATATTATTATTATACAGTGCATAGTTTACGTATACATTATACAAGATTTTATATCTAAATTAATATAACAGCCTCATTATGGGAGAGACTTTACCCGGACATACGACGGCTATTTCATAGACTATATGCATAGAACAGATACATTAGTTGAGATCATTCTCAGATACATGTTAGATATAGGTCATGACTTGTGTCTGTCCTACATACATTACTCTACGTTTCTTCAGTTGGCTACTTTAATAACACTGGTGACATTTCAGAAATTATATATATTCTTCACTAAAAGAAATATGGTTATTTTACCATACAACATTTTAATAAATAATAATAACAATAAATTCCTCATTTTATGAGAGACTTATAACAGCTGAATTTATATACAGCTTAATAAATAAATTATATGCGCAATGCATAAATCTTCAAGATTCATCATGCTGGCGAGCAAAATACTGCAATCTTATAAATGTCCAACATAGGCCATGACGCATGTCTGTCCTACACTATTACGCTACCTTATTGTGTTGCCTAGCTTAATAATGCTGGTAACGCTAACATACATTTCTATATTTTGGTTAAATAACCAAACAATATATTACAAATAATAATAATCTCTTCATTATATGAGAGACTTCTGCTGAACATATAACAGCATACTTAATAAATTATATGCGCAATGCATAAATATTTACAAGTACTTCAGCTGGCGAGCTAAATACTGCAAACTCTACAAATATTCATCGTAGGTCATGACATATGTCACCCTACAACACACCACTACCTTTCCTGAGTTGCCTAGTTCGATAACAATGGTAATTCTTATAATTATGATTTATATTGAAATAACAAATGCCTCCAGTTTGGCTGCTGATACATGTGGGTTATGGTCGGCTCCTTTTGTTGGTCGACAGTCGGCTCATATATTGTTAGGATGGCGGTCGTCAGATAAACTGGCTTACCATTATGCCATTAGGGACTTATTTCCACTCAGTATATCGGCGTCTATGCATGGCGGTAGACTTGCTCCCTTGAAGCCCTGTAGCGATCTACATTGGGTGGAGGACCAGTTGAGTTCCTGTGTAGTTCCCCGGTTGCTGTGTGTGTCGTTTCGCATTTTTACTATGTTTGGCCAAGGCCTTCATGGTGTCTACAACCCTACTGTGAACAATGAATGCGTGCCCGATCATACACCATTATGAATCATGCTAGTTACATTGGATGTAAATGTAACGTCTATAATTAATTTTATTATGAGTTTAGTGCTGGGTTGACTCCTCCTAACTCCTTACCATTTCTTTCCTTGGTTAAGGGGCCGTGATGGTGGGTCTCAAGCTGAGGGCGTGGTCGGGGCCTGAAAGCACCTTCAACACAAATAATGTGTATATATTTTCACAACATCCTTCTCATTGGATTTAATTATACATTTACTCTCTAATCTTAGTCCTAATACCTTATTCCTTCCATACTTTTATTTGACCTTTATTAAATATTTTATTTCTATGTTAAATATAACATTTCTATTATAATGTAATGTAACCAGTGTTATTATGCTCAAGTGTCATTACTTTCTCTTATTAAAATCCTATATTCTATACTTCACTAGGTACTTAGGGACTAATTAGTTTTAGGTTAATCGTATTCATTTAGTAGGTAGGTAATTCTTTTACATGCCCTCAATAACATATTCTCTTACTGCTAACAATCGCCTACAAAAAAGAACCAGGGTTATTACACACAACACAACGTAGGTCCTATTAGACGATCACTGCCAATACAAAATATTCTTTTTAGAAGGTCTTATTAGACCGCACATAGAATTTATTATTTATTAATATTTTATATCAAAATATTATTAAAGAAAAATAGATAGAGAGGAAGGGGAGCACCGTTACAATACACATCATATAAAGCGTACTGCCGTGAGACGCTTGACAGATCTTCCGTCAGGTTTGCTTTGACCCTTTGAGGCTCAGAACAATAACTAAAGCATAGATTGAATTTTCTTCGAATGATACTTTATTAATTGTAAATTTTTTTCAGGGATATAGCAATTACCGTGTAAGTAATGTCACCATGATGCTACTAAGTTGTCATTTATTTATATGGATTAAGAGAATAGAACGACATTTTAATCTGGTGGTGTTAAAGAAATCCAATTACAACTAGTTGTCAAACTAATCTTTATTAACCTGTAACAACCTTATTAATTAAGAAACAAATTTGGAGTACAGTTTTTGGATATTAAAGACGATGGAATATAGAGACTACTAAAAGTATACCTATTCATAGTATGAATTGTAATTACGATAAGATTTTATTTTATTTGGTTTATATATTTTATTTTATATGTAAATGAAAGGCATAGAGACAAACGAACATTTAATTATTTTTAGGAATCTTTTCATGTGAGATAATATTTAAAACGAAAAATATTATTAACCTTAATTGAAACACTAGTCTGCTCATTTTCCTGTCGCAAGAGCAACCTAAACAATAACAATAAGTAAATTTAATCTACTTGTCAATAGCATGTGTAAGTTTCTGCTAATTACGGACTCTTATCAGGAGCGTCTAAATCTCTTTAAATATTTAACCTGATGGAGTGCCTTATCTTGAAAGATTATCGAATAACAAATACCGAAGCATTATAACAAATAAAGCTTGCTTCAATAGACGTTTCATAACTGGCGTTACTTCTACATAACATCGTCAGTAGAGTTATAGATATATTTGGTTTCAATCAGAATATCATATTAGACATGTTGAAAAATTCTAAATAAAGTTAGAGGTAAACTACTAAAACAATGGATTTGACATTAGAGATTGAGCTGAGTGCCTTAAAAAACGAAATAGATGCAGATACCGATAATAAAGCGGCAGAAAAGGAGGAAGATGAATCTTCACCACTTAAAAGTGGAGATGAAACAAAAGAAAAGAATGACGATAAGAAAATATCATTTATTGAAAGGTTAAAAATAATAAAGGCCAACATGACCGTTGAGCCTATAATGGCTTGCTATGTGATGCCTAGTGTTCTATCGTCGTTAGCTGTACAAAATTTAAATTTAGAGAAGGCATGTTTGGTTAATCTTAATTTCAGTGAAGAAGTTTGTGAGGCTTTAAAGTTGAGGCAGACGGAAAACTATACTAACTACGAAAAAGACGTTCAAACTCTTATAGCCGGTATTCAAGCTTGGAAGAATGTAATCCAAACAGCATTACCAGTTATACTTATACTTTTTGTTGGTGCTTGGAGTGATAATACTGGTAGAAGAAAAGCATGTATCCTAATGCCTATAGTTGGAGAATTTCTGACAAGTATAGGTTTTATTATCAACACATATTTTTTTTACGAATTACCGGTAGAAGTAGCTGCCTTCACGGAATCTATATTCCCTGCATTAACAGGTGGCTGGTTCACGAATTTTGTAGGAGTGTTTAGTTATATAGGTGATATTACGACTACAGAAGAGCGCACCTATAGAGTAGGCATTGTAAATCTATGTATGACATTAGGTTATCCCATTGGAAGTGCATTGAGTGGAGTTTTGCTGCGGTGGATTGGTTATTATGGAGTGTTTTCTATTTCTAGTTCCTTATATTTATTTTGTTTGTGTTATGGATACATATATTTGAAAGACCCAAAGAGGAAAAAAGTGGAGAGAAAGGTTGGTAAAGCGAGGTTTACTTATATAAGGTCCAGTATTTAGATGTGGAATAAATATTGGATTTTCCACTATTTATTTCAGGGACGCAACGCATTCTTCAGTTTCTTTACGGATTTTTTCAACGTTGCACTTGTACTGGATACTTTTAAAGTGGCATTTAAGAAGGGACCCGGTAATAGAAGACTCAGGGTGGCATTACTTCTTATCGTAGTGTGCGTTGTTTTTGGACCAATGCACGGTAAGTTGATGAAAAACGCAAAACATTAGAAAAAATATTTCAAAAACAAAAGTATGTAAATACTTCATTCATTTTAGCTAATAAGTTATAAGACATGTAAGCCAAAATATTAAAATTTCTAGATTGGAAAATAGTAAAATAGAGTTTTATACTAATTAACTGTAATATTTTGTAAGTTTGATCAATTTTAGATTCACCATCATTTATCTTTAAAAATTTCACTGTTTCGCGTCTTTAACTATCCGGGTATTATGTGTCTATATGTTTAGGTCGGATCTCTGGCCTACTCACTCATGGTTAGAACAAGATGATCAATGTGATCATTAAAAATAAAAACTCGTAAAAAGTTTATTTGTTTGTATGTCGACTACTTTATGGTACCTCGTATATATAAATTTCGATTAGGACGATTGTCTTGTAATTGTAATTTAGTACATTTTGAATTCGAATTGCTATATTGATATTTTTATTAACATTTTTTTTTGCAGGAGAATTCTGTGTACAGTATCTGTTCACGAGATTTAGGTTCAATTGGGACGAAGTGCAATTCAGTATATGGTCAACTTATTGTATTATTACTAATTTAATTGGTAAGTTTGAAATGTTCCAAAACTACTTAGGAAAAAAAACGTAATTTACATCTTTAAATTTATCTCCTTATACAATTCATCTTATGTCGTAAAATGTTGATTTTATTTTATTTTTAGTGATTTGCCAATATTTTTAATAAAACAGTACATTGATTTTAGTTTTTCTATGTTAGTATCGGTTTTTTGAGACTTCACTCGTATAATTTATAACCTATGTATGACATCTAAGTATGATATAGCTTCCCATAGGTGAAATATTTTTTATAATATGTTCAGTAGTTTTGAAGTATAGTCGATGCAACCAAACAAACATTTAAATTTTTTACGTAGTATAATACACGGAAAAGTTGCAACTTGTTTCGTTTATATGTCGTGTTACAGGTACGGCACTGTCTATGTCCCTGTTCAGCAGCTACATGAAACTGGACGACACTTTGTTGGGAATTATTTCTTGCACAAGTAAAATTATCGGCGCGTTCGCGTACGCCTTCGCTCGGAACGATCTCGAAATATATTTGGGTAAGTTTTATCATGTTCTTTTGTAGTGAACTTCTCGGAACTTTTAAATATTTCTTTCGTAGCTATATTTGTATTTGTTGAATATAATAACTTTATATCACAAAGAAGAATCATAAGAACGGGATGGGTGTCATAAAGAGTTTTTCCATCCATCTTGTATATGTGTAAATAGATATATGTTGTACTATAATGTATATAATTCTATATATATAAAAGTGAAAGGTCACTCACTCAATTATCACGTGCTATCTCAGAAACTACGAGTGCTAGGAGTTTAAAATTTTGCATGCGGGTTTTTTTAGGACGTACGTGGTCACTAAGACGGAATTTTAAGAAATTCGACCCCTAAAGGGGAAATTAGGGTTGATTTTTTTTATGGAATTTTGTGATTTCTGGACTTAAAACTAGATCACGCGGGCGAAAGTTATTATTTAATAAAATGCTAATTTTAGCTGAAGTAGATTCTAAGAATAATAAGTGTTTTATGAATTGCAGCACCTTTACTTGAGATACTGAACGGAACTTCGTTCATAGCGATGCGTTCTATAGCCACTAAGCTTGTGAGCGGAGAAGAGTTCGGTGAGTGATTTACATTCATTATTTTAATTGTAAAGTAATTAGAAATTATGACGCAGACAATGTCTTCACAGACGCCGTAATATGTCAGACTAATTATATTGAGTAAAGCATATTTTATACGTCGCGGCACCGACTTGGCGATTTATTTGCTATTTATATTTGAGCATTAGATTGTTTTTATTGTTTTTTTTTTATATAATTTAATTTCTTTGTTATTGGCTCTTCTATGATTTAGCCAACATCAAGTGTTATGCTTAATATATTTTATAAAATAAGCCGATGGCAGCTATAAATTTCAAGGTTTTATATTGGCGTTATGATATGTAATAAACAACATACGATTTAATGGAAATATGACAAATTATTTGCTGGGTTGGAGCCGTACCGCTTAAGTGGTTTAGATATGCCATGACCGTATAAGTGTAATTTTCACTATGAAGAAAAGTAACTCTCAAAATTTTTTTAAAATCGAATACAGTCCAACCAACTTGCAATTCAAAATTTAAACAAATAATGCATAGAGGTTATTATTTATATCCAAAATTTAATTAAATATTAATTATAATTACGGGACGAAAGTAAAACGTAACGAATTCTTTTTTCTGTTCTGTCATTTAAAAAGAATAATCTCGAAAGTGATTGGTGATTATTATTTTTACGAATGACATAAATAAATTATTACAAATAAATTGTTTTGGTTCGCTTTTGGCATAGTATAAACAAATTTAGTTTAGTCATGGATGTTATTTTTATTTTTTTTAATATTTAGAACGCAGGACCGATCGCTTTGGAGATCTTTGGAGGAGGCTTATGCCCAGCAGTGGGCGTCTCTCGGCTGAATTGATGATGATGATGATAATAATGGAAGTTATAATATGAATTACTTTATACTCTTTTGTAACATTCTATATCCATATAATGCGTATTTTCAGGCAAAGTTAATTCACTATTTGGCTTGGCGGAGGCCATGATGCCACTGGTGTATGGCCCTCTTTACTCCCAAGTGTATACTGCTACCCTGAGTATACTACCAGGTGCTGTATTTCTATTGGGAGCACTGTTGACCCTTCCTGCTATTGGAATATTTGGGTGAATAACATCTTTATTTTTTATTTTAATATTTTAGTAAAGGTTTATTACGTGTGCTTTAGAACGTTACTGGTGTATTACTGCTTATTTGAATTGTCTTCTCTAAAATATAAATAGATGTCACATTGAAATTACACTGAAATATTACAACTTTTGTTTCAGATGGTTATATTTTGAACAGAAAAAGGATATTGACGTAACTAAACAAAATCTGAAAGTGGATTCTGTTGAGAAACAATAATACTCATATTTGAATAAATAGGTAGTAAGTTTTATAGTTCTTCTATTGATGATATAATGCAAATTTAAATTACACATATACACTGTAAATTGTACAAACTTATGGACATAAAGTTTTAATGTCGCTCTTAAACAATAATGAATGTCAAATTTGTATGAGTAATGTCGCTTAAAACGAATGTCAATTTTAATGGACGTTTGTGCAACTGGCTTATAGATAATCACTTAAAAAATACATATGAATACCATGTCCGAAAAAAGAAAGAGTGAAGTTGCCCGAACCTAAATTAAAAAAAATACTATTCTGAAAACCGCATCAAAATAAGTTCAGCTAAACGCGAGATAATCGCGGACAATACATAACACGTGTTTAAGTGCAAACCTCGATATTTGTAGTCGGTAAATATACCTTAAACCTTGACGTAAGTCTGACAAATACTATGCTAAAAAGATAATCGCGCACAAACATACATAAATATAGGTCAAACTGAGAACCTCCTTTTTTGAAGTCGGTTAAAAAAGTATAATTGTATTCTGTATACTTATAATGAAATCTAAGAGCTTATTGAATTAATGAAGCTTATTTTTTGTAGTGAAAAAATGTTTGTATAAATGTTTTCTATTGGTAATGGCATCAAAAAGTTTTTATCTTCATAAAATATTATATTTTCAGGGGTTTTCACCCAAAGGTTAAGAATGGGAATTTATTACTTAGAGTTCACTGTCTGTCCATCGTCATGAACCGTGTTACCTCGACAGTTGAAATTTACAAAATAAAACAAACATTTAAGGGGGCCCATACAACAAACGTGTTTTAAAGGTAATGGTATGGAAATCTTAGCGTGCGAGTCCGACTCGTATTTTATGTAACTTTATGTAAATTTGTGGTTCTTTTATTATCGAACAGTTTATCAAGAACTATAATAATATAGGATTACCAGTTTCCATAGAAGGTTCTACTACAATTTATAAATATTATATATAGAATACACAATAAATTCATTGTATTTTTATTCTCTCTCTATAATTATTTAAATAAAGAACTCAACTAAACTGAATGTATTTTCTTACATAATTATGTACCGTATTTTGATGCATACTCTTCTTCGAAACTAAAGAGAATTATCTTTGTAAATTTCTCTTATAATATTTTGAGAAATTAAATGATTAAGATTTCAACCGGAAGATTATATTTGCTGTGAGTATTATTCTATATTCTTGTTTTCCATATAGATCAGAAGTCAGTGTGGTTCGAAAAATATAATTCCTGCATTGTGCTTCGTGTGCAAGCTGTCACCGGAATATTGGAAATACGTTTAGGGCACTTTTTCGTTTTCGACATAGAATGATAAAATGATTGCGCAGTTGATACATCTAAAGCGATTTTGGAACAAATCATTAACCTTTTTTTACTGATAACGAAATAGAAGTACGGCGTTCCGTTTCCGTTTTTACGACGAACGAAAATTCGTGAAATGTCGAATCGTTTTTAGAATTTAGTTAAATTCCGTGAAGGTCATTGTGCATCAGAAGCAGTGCCAGGTCTTATCTCCATAAATTGTTGGTAAATAGGTGATTATGACGGCAGGAACGTGGTCTGCAGTATTAAATCAAACAATAAATAAGCGACAAAAACTTATATGTATTTAAGAAAATACGCAAAACATAAGACGGACAGCAAAAGCAGCTAACAATTAGTGACAATGTCATAAAAAATATAAAAACACTTATCCAAAGAGGTTGGCGTTGTCGTCAATAATAGGTTTCTTTATAGTCATATAAGCGCTAAAAATAGACAAAATTGCGTGTTCGGAGAAACAGTACTCCTCCTGTTAATTTCTAAAGATGCGAATATATTTATTAAAACTATAAACGGACAGATCGAATCCTTCATCGACAAAGAGTGTCTTATGAAGAAATAATATAAGTACTATTGTTGAGCAAAATATACACTAAATAATATTATGAAAGAATACAAAAAAAATGATCTTGTTTGTTATGGAATATATGTTTTACAGTTATCTCTGGAGCTTGTGATTTCCAATTGTTATAGGATTAAAAGAATCCTTGTTTGTTTACGTCAATACATTTTAGGATTTTTTACGGTTCATACTTGAAAAAGGAATAGGATTTTCATTGTCGGTCGGTCTGTATTCCAAGATAAAGGTATTAGTTGAAATTAATATCAAGTCATTAAGATAGGAGGAGATCGATAGTGCAATGGTTGGCGTCTATACGGTTGTTAAGCAACTCTCACAAGGGGTGGTCATAGGATGGGTGACCACAAATTTATCACCATGAATACCTCCGTGATTCAGAAGGCACGTTAATCCGTTGGTCCCGCCTGCATCTGCAGTCGTTCACACTCACCAATCCGCACTGGGGGCCAATTCTACTAAATAAATTTTGTTTAAATCGAATCGAAAACGGAACGAAACCGAACGAAACTACAACTTTTAGTGGTTTTCCTATTCTACTCGGTGTCAAAATGGCGTCAAACGATACAGTTCCGGTTCTATTTTAGTTTAGTTAACTATCGATCGACAGAAACTGTAAACGGTATTCTACTCGCTCAATCGAACATAGAACTATATAGATGTAGTTATGCAAACCGGAACCAACCCACAAATCTGTCAAAATCGAGTTATGTGCAGAGAAGCCTAAAAGTGTTGCAATTAAACTCACATGTTGTAAATTCACAAAACTTCTTGATAAATAAATAAAATAAAATATATTCTACAATAAATTATAACTAAAAACAAGAAACCCATTTTTCTCAAAACTGACATCATGTGGCTGGTTTGCATAACTACGTCCATATACTTGAGTCGATCGTCGGCCCGTCGGCCCTTATTCCACTAAAATTTTGACACTTCGTTGGATCGAAACGCTACTGAAACGTTACTAAATCCGAACGTTTCATCTGTCAAAATTAACGATTTCTAAAAAGTTGCAAATTTCTACTTTTTCATGATCGATAGTTAGCGTTTAATGATAGATGTGAAACAATTTATATTATTTAAAATCTTAAGAGGTGCAATTAGGTACCCCCAATCGCTGAGTGAAATAAAATACCTTGATCCATCTTCAGTATTGATAATTAAAAACATTTTGCCCTACAAAAGTAACTTCGGCAAACATATTTGTAGTGTTTGTATAGAAAAAGTTTTTATCTCGGTATATTGGAGAGCTGTGAAACCTGTTCTTCGGTACCTGAAAGCTATAAAAAATAGGAAACTGACCTATAACAATAGTGGTGATCTAATCGGATTTGCTGATGCCGATTATGGTGGTAATCTGGTGGACAGACGATCCTATACAGGATATGTTTTCCAAATGTGTGGTTCAGCAGTGTCATGGGAATCACGTAAACAGAGAACCGTTGCAACATCAACAACAGAAGCTGAGTACATGGCTCTAAGTGAAGCCTGTAAGGAAGCCATCTACATTCGCTCATTACTAAGCGACATCTTTTGCTTTTCGTCACCCATCACCATTAATTGTGACAATCAAAGTGCCATTAAATTAACAAAAAACAACATTCATCACGCCCGCACAAAACATATTGATATTAGACATCATTTTGTTCGTGAGTCTATATCCACTAAACAAGTCAATGTGTCATTCATACCATCAGCTCACCAAACAGCAGACATTCTCACAAAGCCACTGCCTAAGCTGAGACACTATATGTGCCTAACTAATTTAGGATTAGTTTAGTGTTATTTGTTTTGTGTTATTAGGTTAATTAGGTTAGGGCATCAGTGTTAAGGTACCTTTGATATAGTGTTTTTGTACATACAGTGTGTTGATATAAAGGGTGTACATAAGTGTCCTGATGACAGGGAGGTGTAGATAAAACCTTTTTCTATATTAATCAGACACTGGCATCTTTTCATATACCTTTTTGAATTAGTATTTTATACATTGTTTTTTGTTTTTAATGTCACTCTCTTCTTTACTCTCATCTGACTTTTATGTATTTACAATGTGAAATACATTAAATACTCCAATCCACTGTGACTCTTAATTCCTACATTTTAAGAGTTTGTGAGTGAGTTATCAATAGACTGTAAAGAACATAATAAATTGTGTAAATCCATTGATATGTTTGCTTTATCATTAATTATTTATAAAAATACCTTATATTAAGGTACCAAAAAATTTTAATCTTTAACTGTCTAGCACTTCAAGCATATAAAATTTTCTATCCAATATTATTTATTTCACAAAGATACAAGGATACTTTCAATGAGCACCCTGACGTCTGAAGTAAATATACAAAATCTGGGTATCAAACACCAGATTCCTCATCTACCTCATGAGAACATAGCAATCCATATGATATAAATTATGTAAAATGACTAGAAAAAAAATGAAATCGAAAACTATGGAGCTAGATCAACAAGTGTGATAGTGCATGCATATGTTTAATAAACTTTTTATGTACACCATTTCATCTATTTGTTATAGATAGTTCTGTAATTTTGTGGTTGCTTATTGATATGTAAAAATGTTGGCAGACTTTAAAAATAAAATAAATTATATCTTGATTATTAATCTTAAATTATTATTTTTTATTAAAAACTTAAATTTTATAGATAAATTAATAGGTTTTCATTTCTCTATCAATTTGAAATGTTAAATTCATATTATGTAGATTCTTAACATAAATAAGGTCCACCTAGTTGAGGCATGTAATGTAAATTAAAATCAATAATTATATTTCTGTTAAAACTTTACATAATTATAAACAATCATTGTAAATAGGAACATTGTAAAAATCATTATTATATTGTAGGGGCTATTGGCTTTAAGTAAACTTATCTATGATTATAAAAACATGAATTTTTGAATATTTTGTATTGAAAAAAGTAAACTATTGTAGTATTTTTACAGGAAAACTTAAAAGTGTGTATTTACAAGCATGTGTGGAATTCCAATAAAAATGGCACTGAAAAAGTCCTTGTTTAAAAATTAATTAATTTATCATTATTTTTTCTGATCACTTGCATTTGCAATACTATATTGATATTTATCTTAAAGGAAAATAATTAAAAAACCCACTTCAAGCAATTAGTGCTTGAGGTGGGATTTAAACCCATAAACACTCACAGTCTGGGCTTCTGCTAAAACCAATTTAACTACCAGATAACCAGCAGGTTTTGTGAATTTAAGAATTACCTGCATTACTAGTGAGCATATGCTCATTTATGTTTAGGAAGTTCACC